GCAGCAATGGGAGCTTGGGCAGTGACTTTGTGCCTCGGTTTACAAATCTGTAGAATGGGAGCCAGGCGTGGTGGCTCACGCCTGTAATCCCAGCACTTTGGGAGGCTGAGACAGGCGGATCACCAGGTCAGGAGTTCGAGACCAGCCTGGCCAACATGGTGAAACCCCGTCTCTACTAAAAATAAAAAATCAACTGGGCGTGGTGGTGGGCAGCTATAATCCCAGCTACTCAGGAGGCTGAGGCAGGAGACTCGGTTGAACCAGGGAGGTGGAGGTTGCAGTGAGCCGAGATTGTACCACTGCACTGTATTTTAGTTTCACCTTGTTAGCCAGGCTGGTCTTGAACTCCTGACCTCAGGTGATCCGCCCGCCTCAGCCTCCCAAAGTGCTGGGATTACGGGCATGAGCCACCATGACTACTGGTCCACTCTGCAACCTTTAACCTCAGCCCCCTCTCAAAAAGTGGGAACAAGCTGGTCTGGGAGAGGTACTCAGAGCCAAAAGGGCCTGGGATGAATTCCCCTCATCTCAGCTGCCACTTGCTTGTTTTCCTCATATGATGGGGAACTCACCCCTCAGCCATGCCACACTGCTGTTGATCATAACAGTGTCCCTGGACTGATTATTTTCCCCACTTTGGGCTCATTTAGTAGAGACTCATTTAGTAAATAGTCTCTACTAAAAATACAAAAATTAGCCGGGCGTGGTGGTGGGCGCCTGTAGTCCCAGCTACTTGGGACGCTGAGGGAGAGTGGCATGAACCTGGGAGGTGGAACTTGCAGTGAGCCGAGGTCGCACCACTGCACTCCAGCCTGGGCGACAGAGCGAGACTCCATCTCAAAAAAAGGTTTCAGGGTGAAGCTTCGTAGCCGGGGTTCACACTCAGGGCTGAGATTCCAGGACCTGCACTAACACCATAGCCTGGCGAGGAGGCGGTTTCTGAGTTTCCAGGCTTGCCTGGGCTAGTGAGTTCTAATCACCTGGTCCAGGGTCAAAGCCTGCAGGTCCCTACTGGTGGGTACTTGTGCATATGTGAGATTTTGTTCTGATGAGTTTTCGTAGATTTTTGCCGCAGTCTGTGGAGACTGTGCTGTTTACCTGCCTGTCCCCTTCCCACTTCAGACAGCCCTGGGTCTGCTCAGCTTGCTAACTTTTTTTTTTTTTGAGACAGAGTCTTACTCTGTCTCTCATGCTGGAGTGCAATGGCACAATCTCAGCTCTCTGTAACCTCCACCTCCTGGGTTCAAGTGATTCTCCTGCCTCAGCCTCCCGAGTAGCTAGGATTACAGTGCCTGCCACCATGCCTGGCTAAATGTTTTTCTTTTTGAGACGGAGTTTCACTCTTGTTGCCCAGGCCGGAGTGCAATGGCATGATCTTGGCTCGCTGTAACCTCCGTCTCCTGGGTTCAAGCGATTCTCTCCTGCCTCAGCCGCCCGAATAGCTGGGATTACAGGCATGCGCCACCACGCCCGGCTAGTTTTTGTATTTTTAGTAGAGATGGGGTGTCTTCATGTTGGTCAGGCTGGTTTCGAACTCCCTACCTCAGGAGATCCGCACCCCCCTCAGCTTCCCAAAGTATTGGGATTACAGGCGTGAGCCACTGTGCCCAGCCTACTTTTTTTTTTTTTGAGACCAATTCTGGCTCTGTTGACCAGGCTGGAGTGCAGTGGCATAGTCTTGGCTCACTGCAACCTCTGCTTCCCAGGTTCAAGCGATTCTCCGGCCTCAACCTCTTGCGTAACTGGAATTACAGGTGTGTGCCACCACGTCCGGCTCGTTTTTGTATTTTTAGTAGAGATGGGGTTTCACCATGTTGGCCAGGGTGGTCTCGAACTCCTGACCTCAACTGATCCACCCGCCCCGGCCTCCCAAAGTGCTGGGAACACAGGCGTGAGCCACCAAGCCCAGCCAATCAGCTTGTGTACTTTTTTTTTTTTTGAGATGGAGTCTCGCTCTGTCCCCCAGGCTGGAGTGCAGTGGCCGGATCCCAGCTCACTGCAAGCTCCGCCTCCCGGGTTCACGCCATTCTCCTGCCTCAGCCTCCCGAGTAGCTGGGACTACAGGTGCCTGCCACCTCACCCGGCTAGTTTTTTGTATTTTTTAATAGAGACGGGGTTTCACCATGTTAGCCAGGATGGTCTCGATCTCCTGATCTTGTGATCCACCCGTCTCGGCCTCCCAAAGTGCTGGGAACACAGGCATGAGCCACCACGCCTGGCCAATCAGCTCGTGTACTTTTGATTGAGATGTAACAGCTGGTCTGTAAAGTGCCTAGACTTAAGGCTTGAGGACTGTTTACATGCGTGTGGACCCTGGCAAGCACTGGTCTCATTTCTGACCCCCTTGACTGCATTTTTTTTTTTTTTTTTTTGAGACAGAGTCTTGCTCTGTCACCCAGGCTGGAGTGCAGTGGTGTGATCTCGGCTTACCGCAGCCTCCACCTCCTGGGCTCAAGTGATGCTCCCGCCTCAGCGTCCTTGAGTAGCGGGGACCACTGTGTTGCCCAGGCTGGTCTTGAACTCCTGGCCTCAAGCTATCCTTCCTCTTTGGCTTCCCAAAGCTCTGGGATTACAGGCGTGAGCCACTGCGCCCGGCTTCCCTCAAGTGAATCTTGTCTCAACTGGTCTGGAGTTTCCAAGCGTTTTCCAGTCTTTTGGGGGTTGCAGGGGTGGGGTGGGTCACTTTTAATTTTTGTGTTGGGAACTCTGGATGCTATTAGGGATTTTGGACTGTGGGCTCCCTTGGAATCATGGAATTTTATTAAGGATTGATTTGGTGGTTATTTTTTAAGTGTCTCCTGTGTACCAGGCATGGCTGTGAGTGCCGGGGGTGGGGGTTACGGCCAGCCAGCAAACCCAGGCCGCCTGTGCAAAGGTCGGAGGAGGGACTGGAAATCGCGATTTGGAAGCAGCAGCAGCCAGGAGGTGCCTCTGTGGGGTTGGAACAGAATGTGCTTCGGGCAGGGTGGAGTTAGGAGATAAGGGTGGAACCGATCCTGGTACCCCCAGACCCTGGAGTCTATGGCCAGCCCTGTGGTATGGGGGTTTCTGAGCCCAGTGGCGCTCTGCGGCCCACGGTCTGGGGCTTGACCAAGCAAGCGTTACGGTTTTTCGTTTGTTTGTTTTTTGAGATGGAGCCTCGCTCTGTCACCCAGGCTGGAGTGCAGTGGCCGAATCTCAGCTCACTGCAAGCTCCGTCTCCCAGGTTCACGCCATTCTCCTGCCTCAGCCTCCCATGTAGCTGGGACTACAGGCGCCCGCCACCTCGCCCGGCTAATCTTTTTGTATTTTTAGATGAGATGAAGTTTCACCGTGTTAGCCAGGATGGTCTCGATCTCCTGACCTCGCGATCCGCCCGCCTCGGCCTCCCAAAGTGCTGGGATTACAGGCGTGAGCCACCGCACCCGTCCTGTTTGTTTTGGGACACGGTCTTGCTCTGTTGTCCAGGCTGGAGTGCGGTATTGCAGTCACAGCTCACTGCAGCCTCAAACTGCCCAGGCTCAAGGGATCCACCCACCTTGGGCTCTCAAAGTGCTGGGATTACATGAGTCCCTGCGCCCGGCCTGTGTGTTTTTCCTTGCCAGAAAAGTCCCCATCCAAGAGCCCCTCCCCCAGCCCGCTTCCCAGGTGCCGGGTGGCTGCTGTGCTCGCCTACCTCGCCCCCCACCCCCCCCAACCACCGCCCGCTTCCCAGGTGGCTGCCTAATCCCCCCACGCTGAGTGGCTGGGCCCTTGGATCCTCCGCGGGAGGCCCAGCTGTGACAGCTAATCCATCTCCACAATTAATGCCATTTGCTCTGGCCAGGCCGATTAGCTCTGGGGGGGCCGCTCCAGCCCCCCTCTCATCCTGGCCCTGGGGATGGGGGACATTAAGGGAGAGGTGGGGGGGCCCAGGCATCACCTGAGCTTCTGGGGCTGTTTTCTGGCTCCTCTTCTGCTGGGGGTGGGGGATGTGGATAAAATCAAGTGTCTTGACTGTGTTTCTGAAGGAGGCAGTTCACATCCCAAAGGCTGTGGGCCTTGCTGGCTTAGACCCAACACCTCGCACACTGGGGTCACCGGTGGACGGCAGCTTTTCTTGGTCATTTACCTGCTGCGTGACTTTGGGCGAGTGCCTTCACTTTTCTGAGCCTCAGTTTACTAATCTGTCATCACAGGTTTTTTTGTTTTGTTTTGTTTTTTTTGGATACAGGGTCTCACTCTGTCGCCCAGGCTGGAGTACAGTGGCGTGATCTCAGCTCACGGCAACCTCTGCCTCCTGGGTTCAAGCGATTCTCTCACCTCAGCCTCCTGAGTAAGCTGAGATTACAGACGCGCGCCACCACCCCTGGTTAATTTTTGTATTTTTTTGGTAGAGACGGGGTTTCACCGTGTTGGCCAGGCTGGTCTGGAACTCCTGACCTCAAGTGATCTGCCCACCTCGGCCTCCCAAAGTGCTGGGATTCCAGGCATGAGCCAATGTGCCTGACCTAATTTTTTTTTTTTTTTTGGGACAGAGTCTTGCTCTGTTGCCCAGGCTGGAGTGCAGTGGTGCCATAACGCCAAACTCGACCTCCTGGACTTAAGTGATCCTCCTGCCTCAGGCCCGAGTAGCTGGGACTACAGGCATGTACCAGCACACTGGTTAATTTTTAAATTATTATTATTATTATTTTGTAGAGACAGAAAAAAAATAGTTTTATTTTTGTTCACAGTCTCGCTATGTTGCTCAGGCTGGTCTTGAACTCCTGAGCTCAAGCGATCCGCCGGCCTCAGCCTCCCACAGTGCTGGGATCACAGGCGTGAGCCACCCCACCTGACGCGTCACCACAATTGTATCTGCCTCCTGGGTGACATGAGGATGAAACAAAATAGGATTTTAAGGGCTCAGGACTCCACACACCGTAGGGGTGAGCTCTCCATCGCTGGGAGAAACTAAGCGGGCTATGGCTGTGGTAGGGCTCTTCTCGGAGATCCTGGCTGACCTTGACCCTGAGGACCACCCCTGCCCCGGCCCACAGGCCCCTGCCCGGCTGCCTGCCTGCCCTAGCCAGCTCCCAAGTGAAGAGACTCTCGGCTTCCAGGCGGAAACAGCACTTCATCAACCAAGCCGTGCGGAACTCAGACCTCGTGCCCAAGGCCAAGGGCCGGAAGAGCCTCCAGCGCCTGGAGAACAGTGAGCAGTGGTCGGGAGGCGCCTCTTGGGGGCTCCTGGGCCTTGTAGAATGGCGTGCATGTTGGTGTTATCTGATACCCCTCCCATGAGCTGGGCCTGGGCAGGGCTGGGGACCCAAAGAGGTGTCAGCTGTAGGCCAGGGGACCGTATATAAATAGAGCCAGACACAGGTGCCCCCTGGACTCTTGGATCAGGGCTGGGTGGGAGGGCGCCCCGGGCATTGGAGCTGGGGCTTTAAAGGATATGTAGGAGTTTGACAAGCCAGAACCTGGACTCTAGCTGGTTTCTGTACCTTCTGGGGAAGACAATTGGAGCATGGAGGTGGGGAGGCTGATATGATAGAGAGGGAGGAAGGCTAGTTATTGGGTCCCCATGGTGCCTGGAGGTCCCGAATGCCACCCCGGCCCAGACAGCATCTGTTTCCACCTAGCCCAGTACCTCCTGACCCTGCTGGAGACAGACGGGAGCCCACCTGGCCTGGACGATGGGGACTTGGCACCGCCTGCATCACCGGGCATCTTTGCTGAGGCCTGCAACAATGCCACCTACGTGGAGGTGCGGCCCCCGACCCCCTGGCTCCCTCCACGCGGGGACCCCGGCAGCTCATTGGTTCTCCTACGGCCAGGCCATCGCCTGTGCCCGTTCCCCCTCCAGGAGCACCCGCCCACTTCTGGTCTCCTAATGAAGGCCCCTCTGTCTCCTTCGGGGTCCCCAGATCAGGCGAGAATCCCCACCCCACCCCTGGAACCTTCGAGCTCCTGGATTCATCTGCCCAACACGTTTGGGAACCCTCCATCGATTGTGAGAGCGTTTCACCTCAATCCCCCCCAGCCCGAGACAGCTGGGCCCATTCTGGCTCCTCGCTTCCCTGCACTCAGCTCAGGGCCCAACACAAGCATTAGCCCCTCAGTGGACAGAGGTGACCGCAGGAGCACGTCCACGTGCTTGGCGGCCTTCTGTGCCCATTTGCCCGGGGATGTCAGCCGTCAGCCCAGCTTGGTGTCTCCTAGCAAGCCTGCCTCCCTGCCTCTCTTCCAGGTCTGGAACGATTTCATGAACCGCTCCGGGGAGGAGCAGGAGCGGGTTCTTCGCTACCTGGAGGATGAGGGCAGGAGCAAGACGCGGAGGAGAGGCCCTGGCCGCGGGGAGGACCGCAGGAGAGGTGCGGCCAGGCTGGGGCGGTTGTGGGTGGGGCCATGACATGGATGGGGCGGGGCCTGGGGCAGGTGGGGCCGGGAGGGGGGCAGGATATGGATGGGGTGTGGGCGGGGCCTGGGGTGGTTTGGACCTAGGATGTGGGTGGGGCCAGGGTACGGATGGGGGTGGGGCTTGGAGTGGGTGGGGCTGGGATGGGGGCAGGATACAGATGGGGTGTGGGTGGGGCCTGGGGTGGGTTGGACCTAGTGTATGGGTGGGGCCAGGGTATGGATGGGGCGGTGCCTGGGGTGGGTGGGGCCGGGAGGGGGGCAGGATATGGATGGGGTGTGGGCGGGGCCTGGGGTCGTTTGGACCTAGGGTGTGGGTGGGGCCAGGGTATGGATGGGGGTGGGGCTTGGAGTGGGTGGGGCTGGGATGGGGGCAGGATACAGATGGGGTGTGGGTGGGGCCTGGGGTGAGTTGGACCTAGTGTGTGGGTGGGGCCAGGGTATGGATGGGGCGGTGCCTGGGGTGGGTGGGGCTGGGATGGGGGCAGGATACGGATGGGGTGTGGGCGGGGCCTGGGGTGGGTAGGCCCTAGTGTGTGGGTGGGGCCAGAGTATGGATAGGAACAGGGCAATGGGGTGCGAGGGGCCAGGATGGCGGGGGTAGGATATGGATAGGGTGGCACATGGGGTGGGTGTGGCCAGGATGCGGGGGCAGGATCTGGGTGGCAGTGGGTAGGGGTGGGGCCTGGAGATGGATGGGGGTGGGGCTGGCTGGCTTGTGTGGTCCTAGAATGGGTGGGGCCTCACGTATAGCTGGGGCAAACATACAAGTGAGGGTAGGGCCAGCTGGATGGGTTGGGGTCAGGGCCTCGTGTGGGTAGGGCCTGCTGGCTGTCTGCGTGGGGCCACAGTATCGGTGAAGGTGTGGTTTGGTGGACAGGAGAGGCCAAGGCACAGATGGGCGTGGTCTTCCTCGGGTGGGCGTGGTCTGGCAGGTGGGCAGGGCCAGAACGAGCGCCCCAAGACTGCCCCGTTCCCCGACTACTGCAGAGGACCCCGCCTATACGCCCCGTGAGTGCTTCCAGCGCATCAGCCGGCGTCTGCGAGCCGTCCTCAAGCGCAGCCGCATCCCCATGGTGAGTGCCGGAGTGCCGGGCCTTGCCTTTCTACCCGCGTGGTCTTTTTTGAAGGCCCCTTTCTCAGGCACAGGTTCTCACCCGGTGCAGGTCGTGTCAGGGGAAACAGGGCAGGATACAGGCAACCGGACCAGGGCGCTAGATAGGAGGGCGGGGGCAACGAAGGCGGGCACTGCGCGGTGTGTAGGAGTTCCCTCCGCAGAAGGCACAGGCAGGAGGTGGCATGGTGGCCTCAGAGACAGTTAAGCAGCCTCACGTGGTGGATTAGAGGTCATATTCAAGCCCAGCACTGTGGTCTCCTGGGGGGCCTGGACCTCCCTGGCCCCCACCCGAAGGCCCCGCAGTGCCCTAACCACTGGACCACCCTCCCCAGGAAACGCTGGAGACCTGGGAGGAGCGGCTGCTTCGGTTCTTCTCCGTGTCCCCCCAGGCCGTGTACACAGCCATGCTGGACAACAGGTAAGGGGGCGTGGCCAGGTGGGCAGACCCTCCCAGGCTGCGGCCAGGTGGGCGGACACCCCACGCTGCGGCCCCTGCACGGCGCTCACTGCCCGTTTCCCACAGCTTTGAGAGGCTCCTGCTGCACGCCGTCTGCCAGTACATGGACCTCATCTCGGCCAGTAAGCGCCAGTGGCCCCCAAGACCCCAAGTTGGCCAGCAGCTCAACCTGGGAAAGTGGCCAGGGTCCCAGGGTCCTGGTTCCTCAGAGTGGGGCTTGGTGGGGAGGTGGGGAAGGGGGCTGGAGTGGGGACGCTGTGAACTCAAGGGTGGCAGTGGGACCCTGCCTTGAATTCACCAGAAGCTCCCTGCATATCTGGCCCCACGCAGGGGACTGCAGACACAAGCAGGCTGGTGGACGCAGACAACCCCCATCTACATCTTCGGGGCCTGGGGTGGGGGTGATGAAGCCTGGCTTTGAGGGACCTCGCAGAGCCAGAGATAAGATGGGAGGGCACAGTGTCTGGAAGGTTTGCATTTAGTCCTGGGGCCTCCCCTATACCACACATGGGACCTCAGGCAAGATCCCCTACTGGCCCCTGGGTTCCACTTTTCCAATGAGGGACGGTCTCAGAACTCACCCCCCTAGTGAGGGTCTGTGCAGGCGCCTGCTGGCCCCAGGCACCCCATCTGGTCCTGAGCCTTTCACACCTGTCTCTGCCACCCGCCTGGAGTTGCTGAGGTGACGGTTTCCATGGCAACCTGAGGATGCCTCCCCCTGTTCCCTCTGTGGGAGATGCATCCCCCATGCCTGCTTCTGTTCAGAACATCGGGCCTTGGCTGGGGGTGCGGGGCTTGGAGCTTGGTGGGTGTGGAGCTGTGGTCCTGACGCAGAAGAGGAGGGGTCCCAGCAAGATGGGGAGTAGAGGATGGGGGTCCCAGGCAAAGGGGACTGCTGAGGCACGGAGCTCACATGGGACATGGCTTGTTTTTGTTGTTTGTGTTGGTTGGTTTTTTTGTTTTTTTTTTGAGACAGAGTCTCACTCTGTTGCCCAGGCTGGAGTGCAGTGGCGTGATCTTTGCCCACTGCAACCTCCACCTCTGGGTTCAAGCAGTTCTCCTGCCTCAGCCTCCTGAGTAGCTGGGATCACAGGTGCACACCACCACGCCCGGCTAATTTTTTTTTTTTTTTTTTTTTTGAGACGGAGTCTCGCTCTGTCGCCCGGGCTGGAGTGCAGTGGCCGGATCTCAGTTCACTGCAAGCTCCGCCTCCCGGGTTCACGCCATTCTCCTGCCTCAGCCTCCTGAGTAGCTGAGACCCGCCACCACACCCTGTTAGTTTTTTGTATTTTTTTAGTAGAGACGGGGTTTTACCGTGTTAGCCAGGATGGTCTCGATCTCCTGACCTCATGATCCGCCCGTCTCGGCCTCCCAAAGTGCTGGGATTACAGGCTTGAGCCACCGCGCCCGGACAATTTTGTATTTTTAGTAAAGACAGGGTTTCTTTTTTTTTTTTTTTTTTTTTTACAGAGTCTTGCTCTGTTGCCCAGGCTGGAGTGCAGTGGTGCAATCTCAGCTCATTGCAAGATCCGCTTCTCGGGTTCACGCCATTCTCCTGCCTCAGCCTCCTGAGTAGCTGGGACTACAGGCGCCCGCCACCACACCTGGCTAGTTTTTTGTAGTTTTAGTAGAGATGGGGTTTCACCGTGTTGGCCAGGATGGTCTCGATCTCCTGACCTCGTGATCTGCCCTCCTCGGCCTCCCAAAGTGCTGGGATTACAGGCTTGAGCCACCGTGCCCGGCCCTAGAGACAGGGTTTCACCATGTTAGTCAGGCTGATCTCGAACTCCTGACCTCAGATGATCCACCTGCCTTGGCCTCCCACAGTGCTGGGATTACAGGTGTGAGCCACTGCGCCTAGCCAGGTCATTCATTTTTTTCAGTGAGGGGGAGATGGGGAAGGGGAGGCTGGTGGGAGCTGGACCACTCAGGGCCTGGGTGCCTCAAAGCCACCTCTGCAGGGCAGGGAGCCTGCGGGGAGGCCGCACACTCCGCCAGGCAGGCGTGTGAGTGGCCATATGGCCTCAGGCCCGGTGTTTTTCAGGGTCCTCATCCCCACAGTGGAATGAGTGACAGTGGAGAGTGAGATGGGCCCGATGAGAGCGGTCCTGTAGGGAGGCTTAGGTGTTCTTGTGAGTCAGGCTCCAGGACCCCGGGGGCTTGGGGCCAGCCAGGCCGCAGTGACCAGCACACACCAGCTGGCGGTGACCTCCCGGGGAAGAAATGAGGGCGGAGGGCGGTCCGGGTCCGAGTCACCTCTACCTGCCTCGGCTCCCGAATTCCTCCCATTCTTGTCCCGTTGGTTTCTTCTGCAGGTGCCGACCTGGAGGGGAAGCGGCAGATGAAGGTCAGTAATCGGCACCTGGATTTCCTGCCTCCAGGGCTGCTCCTGTCCGCCTACCTGGAGCAGCACAGCTGATGGTGGCCCCGCGGAGACCCCGCCGCTGCCTCGCCCAGCCACCAAGCCCTCCGATACCTTCGGCTGAAATATCTTTCATATTTTTAGAATTGGTCCTTGGAAACCTTTTTCGCTTGGGGTGGTCTCTCTCACTCTGCCCCCTCCTCATGAAGCTCTTGGCAGTCAACAGACGCTGGCGGCTGGGGCTGCCCATGCCATCCCAGCTCCAAGCTTCCCGCTCTGGGACTTGTATTTGGGTGGAGAGACCTGATCTGGGCATGTTCTGTTTCTTCATCGTTTAGCTTTTCTGGCCCAGTCTGAAGCTCAAGTGAGGAGGGCGAGGCTGGGTTTTTATCACTTTTAATGAATTTGGTGTGATTTGTTGTAGATTTTTAAATTTCCCTTTTGGAGAGAAAAACCAAAAACACTCGTCCCCACTGGTAAAGCATGGGTCTTGGTCCAAGCCCCTGCTCAGCCCCTCCCAGTTTTTAGCTTGAATGAGGGCGGGGTCTCTGGGACCCTGCCCCTCATGCCAGAAGCATCTTGTGTTGTGTGTGTGTGTGTGTGTGCGCGCACGTATGCCCTGAGACCCAGGACAGAAGCTGCAGTCCTAAGAGCTGGTTTTATCCTCGTCATTCTGCGTGCCCTCCCACACACCGCCTGTGCCAGGGCTCAGGGTTGCCTGCTTTATACGAGCCCCTCTCCTTTCCTCCCCTCCTTCATACTGGGGGTCCAGGACTTCCAGCCAGAAGCCTCTGCCCTGGCACTACTTTGTCTGTCCCCCCGTCCCGTGTCCCCCGTCCCACAGCCTGGCACCTGCCTGATAGCTCCTGTGTCCCCATGCTGGTCCTCCTGGCCCAGGCTGCAGGAGCCAGCCTGGGGAGGCCTCCTACCCCCTCGCTGCGTGTGGGTAATTGTGTTTTGGGGGAAAGTGGGCAATTTAATAAATTTCTGGTGCTCTGGCCTCGGGGTGTGCGAGTTTTTCTTCGGGACAGGGCCGGGCGCTCAGTAGGTCCTGGCCACCAAGGGCTGCAGGTGCCTCCCTGGCTCCTCCGCCCTCGGATGCCTGGGTTCAAATCCCGTTTCTGCCACACGCCTGCCGTGTGACCTTGGGTGAGTGGCTCGTATGAGTGCCTTGGGGCCCCTGTAATGGAGGGTATCACACAGGGGGCTTGAAACAACAGAAGGCCAGCGAGTCGCTCACGCCTGTGATCCCAGCACCTTGGGAGACCAAGGCAGGAGGATCGCTTGAGCCCAGGAGCTCGAAACCAGCCAGGGCAACATAGCAAGACCCTGTCTCTACAAAACATGAGAGAAATTAGCAGGGTTGGCCGGGCGCGGTGGCTCACACCTGTAATCCCAGCACTTCGGGGACACCGAGGCGGGTGGATCACGAGGTCAGGAGTTCAAGAGCACCCCGACCAACATGGAGAAACTCCTTCTCTACTAAAAATGCAAAATTAACCGGGCGTGGTGGTGTGAGCCTGTAATGCCAGCTACTCAGGAGGCTGAGGCAGGAGAATCGCTTGAACCCAGGTGGTGGAGGCTGCAGTGAGCTGAGATCTCACCATTGCACTCCAGCCTGGGCAACAAGAGCAAAACTCTTGTCACACACAAAAAAAAAATTAGCAGGGTGTGGTGTGTGCCTGTAGTCCCAGCTACTTGGGAGGCTGAGGTGGGAGGATCACTCGAGTCTGGGAGGCTGAGGCTGCAGTGAGCTGAGACTGTGCCGCTGCACTGCAGCCTAGGTACGGAGGAAGACCGTACGTCAAAGAAAAACAAAAGGGAAATCTGCCCTCTCACAATGCTGGAGGTAGAAGCCTGAGGTGAAGGTGTCTGCAGGGCAGTGCTCCCTCCGGAGTCTCGAGGGGAGGAGCCTTCCTGCCTCTCCCGGTTTCTGGGGACTTCGTGTGTCCATGGCTTGTGGCCACATTGCTGCGGTCTCGTCTGCAACTGGCCATTTTCCCTGTGTGTTATGTCTTGTCTTGACATTGCCCTTCCCTCGTGTCTGTGCCCAAATATCCCTCTCGATCACCCCCGTCATTGAGTTAGGCCCACGCTAATCACCTCCTTTTAACCGGATTTCCTCTGGAAAGACCCTGTTTTCAAATAAGGTCACATTCTGAGTTCAACCTCTTTTTTTTTTTTTTTGAGACGGAGTCTCACTCTGTCGCCCAGGCTGGAGTGCAGTGGCCGGATCTCAGCTCACTGCAAGCTCCGCCTCCCGGGTTCGCACCATTCTCCTGCCTCAGCCTCCCGAGTAGCTGGGACTACAGGCGCCCACCACCTCGCCCGGCTATTTTTTTTGTAGTTTTAGTAGAGACGGGGTTTCACCGTGTTAGCCAGGATGGTCTCGATCTCCTGACCTCGTGATCCACCCGTCTCGGCCTCCCAAAGTGCTGGGATTACAGGCGTGAGCCACCGCGCCCGGCCTAATTTTGTATATTTTTTAGTAGAGACAGAGTTTCATCATGTTAGCCAGGATGGTGTTGATCTCCTGACCTCATGATCTGCCCACCTAGGCCTCCCAAAGTGCTGGGATTACAGGCATGAGCCAACACACCCGGCCTTTTGTTTGTTTATTTTTTTTAGACAGGGTCTGGCTCTGTTGCCCTGGCTGGAGTGGAGTGGAGCGATCCCAGCTCACTGCAGCCTCGACCTCCCGGACTCAAGTGATTCTCCCACTTTTGCCTCCAGAGTAATTGGGCCTACAAGTGTGCATCACCCCACCCGGCTATTTTGCTCTGTGGCCCAGGCTGGAGCGCAGTGGTGCGATCTCAGCTCAGTGCAACCTCCACTTCCTGGGTTCAAGTGATTCTCCTGCCTCAGCCTCCCAAGTAGCTGGGACTACAGGCATGTGTCACCATGCCCAGCTAATTTTTTTGTATTTTTAGTAGAGATGGGGTTTCACCATGTTGGCCAGACTGGCGTTGAACTCCTGTTCTCAGGTGATCCGCCTGCCTCAGCCTCCCAAAGTTCAGGGATTACAGGCCTGAGCCACCTCGCCCAGCGCTCCCCCTCCCCAGCCCCACTAATTTTTAATTTTTTTGTAGAGACGGGGGTCTGGCTATGTTTTCCAGGCTGGTCTCGAACTCAAGCTGTCCTCCGACCTCGTCTTCCCAAAGTTCTGGGATTACAGGTGTGTGCCACCACACCTGGGCCCCTGAGAACGCTAAACCCCTCCCTGCTGCCTGGGAATGGGGATTTTCTGTAAGGTCACTGTGTGGCCCTCTTGGGGAACTGAACCCTGATCCAGAAAAAAGACTGATATTTGGGCGATTGTTAACTTGTAATTTTAGAACAGTTTTATATTTGCAGAATTCTTGCAAAAATCATGCAGTGAGGCCGCGGTGGCTCACGCCTATAATCCCAGCACTTTGGGAGGCCAGGGTGGCAGGACAACTTGAGAGATGGAGTTTGAGATCAGCCTGGGCAACATAGTGAGACCCCATCTCTATTAAAATTTTAAAAAACGGCCGGGCGCGGTGGCTCAAGCCTGTAATCCCAGCACTTTGGGAGGCCGAGACAGGCGGATCACGAGGTCAGGAGATCGAGACCTTCCTGGCTAACACAATGAAACCCCGTCTCCACTAAAAATACAAAAAAATTAGCCGGGCGTGGTGGCGGCGCCTGTAGTCCCAGCTACTCGGGAGGCTGAGGCAGGAGAATGGCGGGAACCCGGGAGGCGGAGCTTGCAGTGAGCCGAGATCGCGCCACTGCACTCCAGCCTGGGCGACAGAGCGAGACTCCGCCTCAAAAAAAAAAAAAAAAAAAAAAAAAATTTAAAAAACAGGCCGGGCGCAGTGGCTCACGCCTGTAATCCCGGCACTTCGGGAGACTGAGGCAGGCAGATGACGAGGTCAAGAGATTGAGACCATTCTGGCCAACATGGTGAAACCCTGTCTCTACTAAAAATACAAGAATTAGTTGGGCGTGGTGGTGCGTGCCTGTAGTGCCAGTTACTCGGGAGGCTGAGGCAGGAGAATCCCTTGAGCCTGGAAGGCAGAGGTTGCAGTGAGCCAAGATCGCGCTACTGCACTCCAGCCTGGGCCACAGAGCGAAATCCTGTCTCAAAAAAAATAAAAATAAAAACGGAAGAGCACAACATCCATTGCATTAAACTGGCTTTTGGAGGAGGAGGTGGGAATGGGGTTGGAAGTAGGAATACTCAACGGGGTCCGTGACTTCGCTTACAGGAGCCTCAGTTTCCCCACTCTCGGACATTAGAAAATGGAAGAGGGGGAGGGATTGCATTGGGAGTTATACCTGATGTAAATGACGAGTTGATGGGTGCTGACGAGTTGATGGGTGCAGCACGCCAACATGGCACAAGTATACATATGTAACAAACCTGCACGTTATGCACATGTACCCCAGAACTTAAAGTACAATAAAAATAAATTAATTAATTAAAAAAAAAAAAAGAGGCCGGGCGCGGTGGCTCAAGCCTGTAATCCCAGCACTTTGGGAGGCCGAGGCGGGTGGATCACGAGGTCAGGAGATCGAGACTATCCTGGCTAACATGGTGAAACCCCGTCTCTACTAAAAATACAAAAAAAAACTAGCCGGGCGTGGTGGCGGGCGCCTATAGTCTCAGCTACTTGGGAGGCTGAGGCGGGAGAATGGCGTGAACCCGGGAGGTGGAGCTTGCAGTGAGCCGAGATCACGCCACTGCACTCCAGCCTGGGAGACACAGCGAGACTCCGTCTCAAAAAAAAAAAAAAAAAAAAAAAGAAAGAAAGAAAATGGAAGAAAGCCTGGGCAAGGGGGCTCACGCTTGTAATCCCAGCACTCTGGGAGGCCGAGACGGGCGGATCAGGAGGTCAGGAGATCGAGACCACCCTGGCCAACGTGGTGAAACCCCGTCTATACCAAAAATACAAAAATTAGCCGGGCGTGGTGGCGGGAGCCTGTAGTCCCAGTTACTCGGGAGGCTGAGGCAGGAGGATTGCTTGAACCCAGGAGGCGGAGGTTACAACGAGCCAAGATCGCGCCATTGCATTCCAGCCTGGGCAACAGAGCGAGACTCCGTTTTGGGGGGAAGATATAAAGGACAAAAATATGGAACGCTTCACGAATTTGCGTGTCATCCTTGCGCAGGGGCCATGCTAATCTTCTCTGTATCGTTCCAATTTTAGTATATGTGCTGCCGAAGCGAGCACGACACGTTGGGTCTACCACCAGCTATTTATAGTCCCCGGAGGAAATTTCTTTACACATACGGCGACTTGTCTCCACTGCTCTAGAGATTCAACCTCTATTTGTATTAGTCCAATGTGTCACGCAACTAACGCAGTTATTAACTGGAGTTGAGAAAGTGCTCGTTATTCTACCAAATATAGCTACAGTGGCTGCTGGGAATTACTGGAAATGCTCGTATGCAAATATACCCGGAAGCGGGGCGGAGCCTGAGCCGCACCGCCCTCCCAGAAGTCTTTGGGAGGCGGCGGCGCGACTCAGGCGACTGGTTGGTGCCGGGGAAGATGGCCGCGCCGGAGCCGAGGCGCTAGGGAAGTTCGCATAGCGGACGCCCGCTGGGCTTGGTGCACGGGCCGGCCAGGTGAGTGCAGGGCTGCGGGGGCCCGGCGAGGGCGGACGGACCCCTTACCGTGTCACTGGACCCCAGGGAACGCGGCGCGGGTGTGGCGGGCCCTGCGGGGTCAGGGGGCGTGGCCGGGAGCAAAGGCTGCTGGGTAGGCGGCCCGGGGCTCCGGGTTTGCGGCGGAAACTCGCGGGAGGCCTGAGGCCCGCGGGGCGGGCGTCGGGGCGGGGCTAAGGAGAGTTTGGGGCGGGGTTGAAGGCGCTTGGTTGGATTGTGGGGGGGGCCTGGAGAGGGAATAGTGTCCCTGGGGTGGAGCCTGGGGACTGGGGGTCTGTAGAGGCAGGGCCTGGAGACTGGGGGTTATCGGTACGGGGCCTGGAGAGGGAATAGGGTCCCTGGGGTGGAGACTGGGGACTGCGGAT